ACCCGATCTGGAGAATGGGTCAACTTTCTCTCTAAAAGTGGGCATGACTGAAGAAAGTGTCATAGTTTCTGTGAACACACTTTTTATTCCCCACTTCCTTACTTGCTCACCTCTCCTTTTAGAGGGAACGCACGAAGATAAAGACAAAACATGAGAAAAGGTCTCCTTATCTCTCCTAACGTATTCACCATTCAAAAAGCCATTCTTTATTAATCAAATGTTGTCTTTAATCAAGCCTAAAGAATAGTTATTATCAAGAAATATTAATTTAAGCCGATCCAGATCATTGTCACAATGGTCTACATCGGCTAGTCTTATGCTGCGAAGAATCATATATTTTAAAACTCCAACTATGATTGGAGAAAAAGTTAAGTATAAAGCCAGCATGTGTTGGCTTTTTATAGACATCGTCGCCGTCTTCTGGTGGAAGCGAGCTTCGAATCTCTTCACCGCACACTTCCACTCGAAATGGAAGTCAGCTCAACAATTATGAAACGAGAGATTCCTCGAAACCCAACTTTTCATCGTACATATCGTCTAAAAGCCAAACGGCTGCCGTACAACAGGATTCATCCGTCCTCATCTGGTGAGCTCGACCAACAAATCTCTTTTTTCAAGCAGTTTCATTCGAAATCAAGCTCCCCCTAACAATGTCATCGCAGGCGACTCATGGAAACCACCTTTCTCTTCGTATCTACAACAAATAACTGGACAAGCAGCACAGTTTAGTCAAGACCATCTGAAAAGGAAGAGGCCAAAGGAGACAGTGCACAGGACCAGAGCCGCGGTAGATCGGAGCTAGGCCCGACCCTCGTCGCCTTGCACCAGCCTCAACTTGCACCCACTCGGCCGGCAAGGGAGCGTGAACAATCCGAGCCCTGTCCGGCTCGAGATGGGCGGAAAAGAGAAGCAGCGGCCGACTCAAACGCATGTGGCTCTAGTCGGCGGATCGGCGACCTGTGCCCAGCTCGTCCCACAAGCCGTCAGGCGGGGTCAAATGAGGATGGCTAATCAAAAGCGAATTGTGTAAACAGATTGCCTGAAGCCAGATAAGGTGCAAAGGGTAAGGAGGAGTGATTTTCCGGCTGCGTCGCTTAGGGCACGTCTGCCGCAAATAGCTTGTCTCCTTTCAAGAAGTCTGCAGGCTCATCCGATTGTTTTAATAAGCGGGCTAGTGCCGAGACGCGACCAATTTCTGCTCGGAACGGTCGCTCTTATGCTTTGTGATAAAAAATATTTATTCAACCGGCAAAGCCAAGAAATGGGGAAGCAATCGCCATAAATGAGAGACAATCAAAATGTGGCCAGAGTGATTATCAATTTTCTGTAGAAAGATGACTGTGGGCTTAAAAGGAAATATGAAAAGATAAATAAATGATAAAAAATAGATAAAAAAGCAGACGAAGTTATCCTTATTCTACAAGTAGGCTACAGAGACTGTCAGTAGTTCATCTATTTATGAAATGTATCCACCCTATCTCGTCAAGGTAATGAAGAACTGGGAGTGATGGATTCTCCACATTATATGGTTAGGCCTAAGGTTTCCCTTCAACTTCACACAGCCTTGCTTCCCAAATAGTATTTTCATCACGGCTGGGGTGG